GACCAGAGTTAGCCAACACCGTGGGCGACCAGCAGCTTCACTATCGCAAAGTGGGCCTATTATTAGCTGGATATCTGATGCAGTGCCACGAAGCCTACCAAGCACCGAACCAGCACGGAAGAGAGGAAGGCCGGCGCCCCAGCAACCTCCCCGGTACTTGTCCGCCTGGTACTCTGTGGTTTGCCGTCCACCAACCCTTGTTTCCCACCTGCCCTAGGAAGAATGCCGCGTATGCAGAGTCCGGGGGGCCTCCTGGTCGTTCGGAGAGCTTCTTGGTTTCCCCAATGGCTCGGCGTTGCTGCACACGTTCCTTTGGTTCCGAGATGCGACAAAGTGCGACGAGATAGCAGCGGACTTCGGACTGGGCATGTGGTCGCCGGCCATGTTGGAGAAATCGACGAGCAGGAAGGAACGGACAAAGCTGTCAGGCCGGTGGGACTCGGATGTCCAGATACGGCAATTGGCAGACTGGTGATGATGTTGTCGAGCTGCAACAACGCCGTATCGTACCAGTGCCCACCCCCGTAGCAGCTAGAGCATACTGGGCCGCAGTAGCTCTCCAGGCTAGGCCATAGTCTACGGGTAGTTCGTGGTTAGTACGGGGTAAAGGCTAGCACTAACGGCGGGTCCAGGCAAATCTGAAACTGACACTTGCAAGATGCACTGCAACTTGCATGTCCACCAACGAAACATGTCCATCGCTCGTGAAGGTGGGTGAACGCGAGAAGGGAACCCAAAATGACGAAAAAATGCTGTCCTTTGTGTTTTTCTTCCTTGTTGAGAAGCTGAATGTGCGGTGCGAGCCGAAAGGAACCAAGGGCACTGCACCCGGAAAACCCCAGCCATCGTGACATGTTTTGGGGTACTTACCTGGAGGTACCTTGTGGCCTGTGATGGCAGACACGATGCCATCGTCCAATGCCCTGAGAGAGTGCAAACTCTGCATCAAGAGTGCAGCGGCATGCCGCACTTCTCTGCACATGTTCATGATGCGGACTCGGGGTTGGCTCAATTGAGAATCAGAGAAAAAAAGTTTGTCGAAATTCCAGGGGCGAAATTCTTTTCTCTCCAATCATGGCAGCTGTGATTGTAGAGGATAAATTGAGTCGGCCCTGTCGCCGATGACGGTGGTGATGGTGGTTGTGGCGGCGGGATGACCGCGTCGGCATTAAGGGCAGGGCGCAGCCATATTATCCATCAGTCAGCGCCAGTCTTGTCACGCTGTCCAGTTGCCATTGTAGGACATATAGATCCGGCACCCAGAGAAGCCGGACAGGTCGAAATGATCTTTTGTTCCTGTCATCCGGCGAACTGCGCATGTGCGTCTGAGAGATGTAAGTTGGCTTTCTTGGCTTCCACTTGATATGCTTGTGGAAAACCAAACCATCTGTGACTGCTTGTCTGGTGGGCGCGGTGTGGTGTGTGGTGTCTGTGGTGGGTGTGGCTTGTGGCTTTGATAGGTACCACTGCAAAGACTGGTGGTGCAGATTCTGATAAAGCCCTCAGAGAACCCTTCAGGGGTGTTCGAGTCCGGATTGGGAGCCTGCAAACGTCAAGACCGAAAGAGGACTCGAGAAAGATGAAACCGGAGGCTGGGCCTGTAAGAAATCGCTCAGAGGAGCAACTCGCGTTTCGGACCGTCCCTGATATGGACCTTTATGCTTTTCCGTATTCCCGGATAGTCTGTCCCTAGTCCGCCCTCGAGGCCGATCCGGAGAAAAGCTGGAGTTGCAAAGAGGAGTTGAGAGACAGAGAGGCTCCAGAAAGGCTGCAGCCCTACTGCATAGCCCATGGTAGTCTTGTCTTGTCCTGTCTTGCCTGGTCTTGTCAAGCACCCTCGGACCTGAGGTGGGAGACGGGAATAACATGGTGATGTGAAGAGACGGGAGCGTCACCGGGAGAAGGCCAGAATTTTGTAACGGAAGAGTGGATGATGGATGATGGATGGAAGACAAGAGACAACCTAAGAGACGGGAAGAGGGACGATCGAGAGCCGATCGAATGTCACCATTTGACATGATAATAATCAGGGTCGTCATATGATGGAGAACCGGATTTTCAGGGTCGTGAATTTGTGATGTGTTATTGGAGCTTTGGCGAGTCTTGGTGGTGGTAGTGGTGATGCATGTTCCGGTTCCTGGATCGGGCGAGTGTGGTGAGGTGTCATTGCACTGAAGTTGTGGAAGTGGAAGCCAAGCCCTAACTGCCCTGAGGTTGGATTGATGGGCGCCGTTCCCGTGATTCCCATCAAATGTGAAGAGATTTCCCCGTACCACGGTAGAGGAAGGAACACGGACCTTCGTTTTACTGTTGCCTAGGAATTTGCTTTATTGTGACTTCCCCCTTTGCGAGTCACGGTCCATTCAGTTTGTGATGCGGAAGGCACGAAAGGAAGGAAGGAAGGAAGAGGAAGGCTATGGTGGGACGGGAGGGTGGATGTCCATGCCCGCCGGCCGTGTCCCTTCCGTCCCGGGCCCGAGCGCACGCCAAAAGTGACGACCATAACGAGTGCTCCTTCCTGTCTCGACGCCGTGATGACGAGGCTGCCATCAAACCGAAGAAAACTCTGTGAAAAATTTTCATGTTTCTCAAGTGCGGCTGCCCCGTGTGTGTTCACTTTTTGTTGTTTGTTCGCAGCCTTCATTTTCCAACCTCATGGCCAATCCGAAGGATGAAACACCCGGAAACAAGTGGGCGTTCACGGCACCGTCCATCGCCCACTGCATCGGGTCCGGGTGCCCGTGATTGTAGGCGGGCATTGCGGGCTGTCCACTGGAACATGGCGGGCCATACGCGGGCCATACGCGGGCTTCTCAGGCACGCTGCAACCTCTCGTCCGTATTGTACAGTGCCAGTACCTCTGCCCCTCCTTGCTTGCTGCCCTTTTCACTTTTTACTTTTTCCTCTCTGTTTTGCATCGCGACGCGGGACCGGGGGCCTTTCATCTCAAAACAAACAAAAAGCAACACACGGATTACTGAACGAATGAACGAACGGAAAACACCCCAAACTTGACAATGGCACACCTTTGCATCATGATCACGCAGGAACAAACCCCTTTGCGGCGCAATACTTTCGGAACAATCGCTGCTTTTCCGACAACGACAGGAGACGGGAATTTCCTTTGGTTGTGGTTGTGATGTCTTCCACTTTCGACTCGCCGTCGCCGACGTCAATTGATAAGCGCGACGACCCCTGTTTTCTGCGGTGGTTCCCGTCGCTCCGTGTCATGACGGACGGCGATGAGGTGCCAATATCAGAAACCAAACAACATCAGCACCAGCCTCACCATCAACATGACGAGACAAGATGTAAAGCCGGATCCCATGGCAAATGTAACACTCAAAGACAGAAAAGGAAGTGCAAAGCGCAGGGCTGGCTCACTGACCATCATCATCAGTCAGACCGCTGAGCTGCACTGCACGCCTGCGCAACCACAGAGAAACTCTCTCAAAGTCTTTGCCAACCAGCCAGCAGCAATCTGATTGCCCAATGTCCATCTAGATGGCACCCTCCGTGCGCAGGTTTGAGGCGATCAAATCAGCTTTAGGAAGGCCCCAAGGTGCCAGGGCCCAGGGGCACACTCTGGGTTTGACGGGCAGTTTGACACTTGCTTGACAACCCCAGACACTGGCTGGCCTCAAATGACACTGGCAGGCAATTCCGTGACGGGTGGATGGCAGCCACGGCAGAATAAGGCAAGTCGACATTCGACAAAACAACATCGTGGCTCTTCTCGGCGGGAGGACTGGCTCGCTCGCTGTGTCGCTGGATCTCTCGGGCGTTCGTGCTGAGGGTTCCTCGAGTACCGTGATACCGTTTTGGGAGGGCACAGTGCTAGAGTGCGAATCTGCTCACCTCATCATTCCGTTTTCCCGCTCGCTGGTACCATCTACCTGACCACTGCGACAACGCCAGCAGCCTGCCGCGCCCACACAAGCTCCGTTCCGTTTTCTTGAGACGTGGAGAGCTGGTGGATAAGACAGGGTCCCCCCCGGCGCGCTGAAATCCACCGAGGCCATCCGCTGGGTCCTGAAATGGGCCTGAAAATGGAAATCTCCCGGCAAAAGGAGGTGGTTCGTCCAAGCTGTCTTTCAGTGGATGTCTCCAAACGAAAAGAGGTACATGGGTACTTTTGGAGTTACGCTACTGTACACCTCAGGCGTTGTCCAGCTTGTCTCGTAAAACGGAGCTTGCACGCAAAGACAGGCCAGACACACACTAGACAAGGTACCTGGCTGCCCTGTCGTGTCTCTGGTGTGGTTGTCTTTGGGATTGGGAACGAATGGGTACCCTGGTGTGTGGCCCAAGAGACAATTGATGCCAATGACAAGGTAGGGAAAATAAGGTCACCCCTTGACTTCCATTTTGACATTGCCTCGTTCCAGTTCCAGTAATCCTCTTCATGTTATAAGACCGAGGGATCCCCTTCTCCGTTCAGACCTCTTTTCTTGGAATCCCCATCACAGCTTCTCAACCATCTTCGGATCCTAATTCATTCTCCTGTGTTTAAACACCAGGTTTAATACTACCTTACTTGTCTACTTCAGATCCACACTACTGCACGACTGCCAGCTCCAAAGAGTTCCTTTCCTATTTCGAACATCACGAAAGACTTCCGAAACGGGAAGCATACCGAACGACCACAACAGCACAACAAGAACACCAAGCTTTCGCACTTGTCGACGACAATTTTTCCGAATCCTAATTCTCGCCGATTACACTCTGGCGTCTCAATCGTGAGTCCTGACACGCAACAACATACATGGCTGGAGGTCTCCAGATGCCGAGTTGGACAGTTAGCTAACATTGGAGTCTTTTCGGTGCTACAGCTCTTGCGACGTTTCTAATACAACCTTCACAACCGCCAAAATGATCACCAGGGAGTCTCAGTCTGTCAACTTCGGCCGTGGCGCCTACGATACCACCGGTGTTCCCAAGCCCCCACAGCCTCCCAAGCCCAGCCGGAGGTAAAGGGCCCTCGATCCTATCGAGACCTGATGCGTGCCTGTTCATCCCTTGAATCACTGCAGCGCGGATCATTGTCACATCCACGACAAGATACCGTGCGAAACGCAGCGAAACAACGGCGCTCGACATTTTGGCCATGTTTTCATTCCTTAATCGACACTGGAACGACAAGCAACAACCAAACATATCAGCGATCTCGAACGAGCAGCACCACCTCTTCTTTTTGCGACTTCTTTTTTCGACCATTATACTATAATCGGCTTTAATATCGCCCTCACCATCTTTTATCGACATCTAGCACTTTTTAGTCAACAACCTCTGCGATCTCATTCTCGGGCGATTAATTTCAATTCGGAGTACGCCTTTTTAATCATCATTCCTCCCAACATGGAGGGACAACAAGACAACAACAAGAGGGTGGTTCATTCCGGGCGGCTGACTCTGGCTTTTCACACACTGAGTTTTGCTTTTTACACCTGGTGCACGGCGTTTACACATAGAGATGGGCTTGGTTGCATTTTCCTTTTTCTTGGGATATAATGGAGCAACACTCGAGTCGCTCTTGGGGTGGTCACTTGTCATTTTTCACACCAAACCTGTTTTGCGCGGATCACAACGGAAAAGAAGCAGCGCGCGACCTACCAGCATCTTTTCCCGAACACATTCGACCACCAGGTTTAAATCACGCCCATCCCAAAAGCCCAGCCGGAACACGATCCGGTCTTATAATTCGCCGAATCACCATAGCGGGAACGGCACTTGATCATGGACTCGGGGACGGGCATGCCAGCCAAGAATGGATCCGCAACCTACATCACAGCGTTTTGGTTTTTCTTTTCTCGTTTGTCCTGGGTTGGATTGGGAAAAAGACTTGGGTGGTTGGGAAAACTGCTTTTTATTGCATCTAGACTTTCTTGTATTTTCCCACATTGTTATGGGATGTACCACCACATCGGGATGGCTCTCCTCGCGGAGATAGCGCATCATCACCCGCACAGCGCATCATGGCCCCTATTTCCTTTTCATGTCACATCACATCATCATCATCATCATCATCATCATACACATCACCACTACTGTACACCACGGGCAGTCAGTGTTCGCTTGGCTGGATCCAGGTTATAGAAGATACCCCCTCTCGTCGTTTTTGAGTTTTTACATTAATCCCCTCCCCCTGCACCATCTTATATCACAGGAAATCATGTATAAAGATTTACAGTCGGAGGATGGATAAATTAGAAAGTAGCTATCTAGATATTTAGTTTGGCGAAAAAAGCTTGGTCTATACCAAAACCACAGCAAATGGAACATTGGAGATTCACTTCTCAACAGTTACTTTTTTGGTTTCCCAACATGCTTTGCGTGAATTTTCAGCCGCACTTGAACATAATCGGATAAGCTTTTCTTCCGTCGTGTCCGATAGAAAAAGGAAAAGGAAAGTTCCCGCATTCTTATTTGTAGCGGAGGCTTGCGCGGCGGGGGGGAACGGAGAAGGAGAACTGAAGGGTGCCAGGAGCCCAGGACGGCGACCTCGAGAATGAATGCACGTTCCCGATCTGTTTGTCTCATACATACAAAGATAACGCACACCAGACGCGAACGAACCGAACCTACAGGATCTCGCAACTCTACTGCTTGCTTGGTGCAATATTGACACATACATGCATATATCATTATTCCTTCCTTCCTTATTTCTTTCTTATTTCTCTTCCTTTGTTGTTAACGTGCGTCGCTGTGCATGGCATTCGCAACCTAGAAGCTCCAATCCCCAAAAACGCGGGAACTCCCATCGATGCGTCGTCACTTCCCAAACGAAACTTCATCCCAAACCACAGGCAGTCACTTGCGATTTCTCGCTTCTCTAAGAATTGCCCACGCGCCCGGGCGCGCGGAGTACCCGGACCCGTGGTTGAATTACTTGAGAGTTGAGATGAGATGAAAGATGAAATTGATCATTGCGCACCGCCCGTGACCCGAATAAAAGAGATTACAATTTCACAGCAACAGGACCACCCACACCACGTAATAGCGGAGCTAATTCCGGGGTCAGCGTGCCGTGCCCGTCCGTGCCATGGAGGTGACGGGTGCGCAGCTGTTTGGCGGGCCGATAGCCGGGCCGGTCGGTCGTTACGGGGGTTTGCGTAAAGCGTCGACACTTTGGTACGTAACACCCCTGCCCACCCGCAATTGTCACCACTTTCCAAATGACAAAAGTCCAAAGTCGATTTTGAAATTTGTAACCCTCGCATTCCACCCTCCGCAACCTGATATAAAGCAAAATGTAGTAAAAAGCCCCCTTTTGAGCCAGCTGAATTACGTGGATGCGTTACCTTTTTAAAGCATAGATATTACTCGAGATAGACACAAATCATCAACAAAAGTGGTACTTGAGAAATGGAGTTAGAAAGGATTAATTGAGGAGGAGGTGGGCCTCTATACGTACCAAAGTGTCAACGCTTTACGCACCACCGTTACGGGTCGTTATACGGGTCGTAATAAGGTAACAATGTAACAAGGTACGGTGCAGGGCGGTGCGGTAGCAGGGCAGGCACCTAATAAAGTTGTAAGGTACGGTAAGGTAAGGTAAGGCCCGTTTGGTTTTGATCTTTCGCCTTTGTCTGGGCCCTATCCCTGCGGCCTGAAACGGGTGGGTGGTTGGCTGCGTTGCTGATTGAAACAAGACTCTTCCCGTTTGTTTACTTGTTTATTTGGACTCCTGCAATGTTAAACTTTATGGCGACGTCAACAACAACAGCAGCGATCAGAGCATGTGCTCGAGATAGGATGTTCGAACAAAAGATCCGTGCTTAAACTCCCGTCGTCGTCCGAACTGTTGTTCAATGCTGGAACCATACACACACCGTTATGTGGCTCGTGCTTTGCTCGTGCCTGCATGATCCAAGTGCAGTGCAGTGCAGCCATTCCCGAACCCCGAATTGAACGAAACGACACCATGTGGATCCTACCCACCACGCAAATCCAGCTCACAAGACGAGAACCTCTACAGCTACCTACCACTGGGAATGGGACTGGCCCGGGGGATACGTAAGAGCTGTGACAACACCACCAACAACAACAACAACAACTGAAGCCTCAATTTTAACCCTATGCAACACAGTAAAAGCGAGGGCGTAGATCATATTCCCAATTGAGCATTCATGGACAAGAAGTGGAAAGCCATCACATTCACCGGGTCATTCCCCGGCTCGGGACCGGCGACCGTAGACCGGAGCTGGGGTCCCTCCACGATATCGTCATATTCGGCGACCATTGAAAAGCCTCATCACGACTCTGAGAATCCTGTCGGGTAACGACCCGGTCGTCAATCGCTGTCACCCAGCCAGACAGGGCATTCGAGTACTATAACGAAAAGGGAACACGACAATGGATGATGATGGGCAGCTGACCAGGCTCCTCGTCAAGTTGATAACACCAGCAAAAAAGCGCGAAATGAACATACCATGGTATGGCACCATATCATATCATGGCCTCGATAACCGACGACGACAACACTCGACATCAGTCGACAGCAGCAGTCAACGCAAGAGATCCCAGAAACCCAGACAGACAGCGGGCGGGACGAGACCACAACCAAACCTCCAGTCAAAAGATTATGGAGCCGCTAATGCAAGCTCTAAAAAGCTCTAAAAAGCCAGCCTAAGCTCCTTTCGATTTCTTGTCCTGAGCAAAAGTCGTCTCAGGTCCTTGCTGTCTGCCCTAGCTGCTGCTGCCCTGGTTGATGCTGCTGCTGGTCTCAGATGTTGCATGTTTTGGGCATGTCCTCGTGATTCGAAACCACCTAAGGTAGTGGCATCGTCGATTCCGCCCATTCCGTTGATTCCGTTGATTCCCCGGGACTTGATACATATGTATGCACCAAGGCTTCAGCGCTTGGTGTGTAGCTTGCTTTTTCCTACCAAACGTACGGACCTAGCAAGTCCCGTGAGCGTGGTACTAATGCTGGGGCAAGGAGTACTTAGGTAGGTAGCGACAACAATCTCAAGTTCGAGGGTTGAGGCTCCAGGTCCAGGGGGCTGCTATGTACGCTCCGATACGAAATATGCCAGATTCCGGATCGGATAAGGGGTTCAAGCCTTGAAGCCTCATGATTTTCAACCCCGAACTTTCAATGCTGGGCTGGTATGAGCGTCTGTATCCGATGGAGCTGTGGCACCAGTCCGATTTGTCGAAGCTGGAGAAGGAGATGTCCGAGACTGATAGGTATCCATTATTACGCCGTCTGGGCGTACATCCCATACGCAAGGTACCCGACAGGACGAATAGTTCCGATCCCGGGAACCTCCCTTCCAGCAGGCCCAGGTCCGCAGTCCTGGGTCGGGTCGGGCGCGCGGCGGCCGGGCGGCGGACTGACTGGACTGGACTGCCCTATCAAACCTCAAAAGGGCCTCTCATTTGGGAACCTCTGGCGACGTTTTGGGCGAAGCAAGACGACGGGAGGCGAGTTGCGCGCTGACTCCCTGATGCAGCAACGGGTGAACCGGGAATGGCCGCGGTGCAGGAGGAGTTGTAGTGGACACCACCTGAACTTCATATCAAAATCACCAAAAGGTTTCCCAAAGAAGGTGACAACCCCTGAACGGACCAGTGACGAAGAGATTCACGGGCTGCTGTTGTGACAGGAACAAGCCGCCGCTCAGCATGATCACCAAGCCATCTCATGCACAAGCCTCGCGTACGTACGTACGGAGAATAAAAATGATAAAAGGGGATCTGAGAAAAGTCGAAAGGAAGGGTTCATTGGCAGTGATTGCACCCGACGTCGCCGACGTTGTGTAATCCTCGCATCGCTGAACCATATCTTTGGGTCACTTCCATCCAGGCAGTTCTTTTTTTGACGCGGGCCTGACGGGCCTACAGGTGACAGGCCTGATGGGCCGGGGAGCTGAGAGATGATTTTCCCGGGAGGCACCATCACTGCATCGTCTATCACGAAATGTTTCACATCATCTCTCACTGGGTCTTATCCAATTCAAAGGCGGACGGGAGATTCTAGGTGTGGCGTGATGCAGTGGCTTTTTTGCTGGGCGTGTGTTGCCGTGTTATGAGGCTTGAGAGGGACTCGCTCGAGACTGGAGGAGAGATGGAACTGGGACCAAGTTGGGGAAGCTGGGAGGGCTCCACTTTCAATTTTGAATCCCATTTCCCCAAACCCCGGTCACGTCGCATTTTACATCCTTCTCATTCGTCGGAAACATGGTTCGTCCCATTTCCCCCCAAATTCCCATCCAGAAAAATGGAGCTTCAA